AAAAAAAAATCTATACCATACAGAGTTAAGTTATCCATCTTTTAATTCCGGCCTATTTACGGGTCCACGGCCGTGTAAATTAAATCGACAGATAAAAATTTGAGTCAGAAATTATGAAGGCTCCAAATAAGTTGATGAACGACAGAATATCCCAATTGCCACAGCCGATATTGCACTATATACTCCGTTACCTCCCTCAACAAGAAGCCGTTAGAACTTGCCTACTCTCCAAATCATGGCGCTATCTTGGCTCCACGCGCCCCAATTTCGCCATGCGAGAGATCGAGTTTAAAGGAAGTAAACAAGAGTTTGTCAACGTCCTCGAAAGGTGCTTACAACTATACTTGGATCACAAGATTTGCCCGGAAGAATTCGAGGTGTCCATGTCGACGTCCCATGCCGAGTCGTTTTTCAATCGGCATGAAGAAAACGCTCGCTTTGACCCGCCCTCTATGATTTTCGAATATAAGTCCCTCCAACGTTTGACTCTTCGCTACTGCAACTTGAGCCGCGATGATATTCTTCACAGTGATATGTCGTCATTAACTCATCTCAAAAAACTCCACCTTACGGACGTTTGTATTACGGACGAAGTTCTTGAGAAAATAATATGTAGCTGCCCGTTGATTGAATTGAAGCTCGATGAATGCGTCGGGTTGAGAGCCATCAGAATCGATAAACGGGCTCGCCATCTCAAGCTATTCGACTTGTCTGGTTCATTCAACGTCAAGAAGTCGCCGAGTCTTGAAATTGATGTCCCATCTCTTGAGAAAATCAAGATTAAGGACTGCTCGAATTGGCATCACGACAAGATGACCTATTTTCCTCATCTCAAGTCTCTAAGTCTTTCTTCTGTGAGACTCACTACAGAGTCATTCGGCTTCTTTTCGCATAACTTCCCTTGCCTTGAAAGTGTATCCTTGAACGATTGCTATGGCTTTGAGGAATTGGAGCTGTATAGTCGTTCGATCAAGAATTTTAAGTTGTCTAGTCGTCGTATTACTATGGCGTTCAACAGGGCTGCTATTGATTTGCCGAGCATAGTCATGTTTATGTATGAAGGCCCTGTTCCCAAGTCATTTTCTTTCACAACAACTTCTGAAAAGTGGAAATCGGATATAACCCTGTGGACTGATTATTTATTCGACGAGACTTCACGAGAGTTGGGCAAATTAGGACAACTGCTCAGGGCAGTAAGCGGATCCGAAGTCTCTCTACATATTGGGAAGTTGAATCTAGCTAAGAATACCGTGTTGTCTTTTACGAACAAGCTATTTTGCATTTGTCGTCCGAGTATCATACAACGTTCTGTTGTTGTTGGCCCAGATTCCGGATTTTTGTTCAACCAACTTCGCAACCAATCAACAAAGGAGATGTGCACGATGCTGGGAATGGAGAAGGGAAATTTTGAAAGTGGCCGAATAACAAAGGGACGTCAGTGGCGACAAGATCTTGAGAAAGTAGTGTTTGAAACTTTTGATGAAAACGAGAAAACATGGCATCCTGTCGTGGAGAGAAGTTGGTCAAAATTTTGGGAAGGATTGTTGCTAAAGGATTCTAAGAGTGTGCAGCACTGCATGCGCTTTCGATTGACTTGGAGAGAATAAATCTGCCATCATGTCACTTTATATATAAGCATTTGTGCATTTGTACTTCCTAATTTTATTTTTTTGGTTTAAAAATTGAAATTGGAATGAGCCGAGACACACCACGTACAGTTCATATATTAGATTCATGAATGATTCAGTTCATATACTTGCATAACGATTGAGACTCCACTCGATTGCAGCCTTTTATTGTAGGGTAGAACAACATTTGAAACACGAGTCTCGTCTTCGTCTCTTCTCTCAAGGAGAGCAAAATGTCTTTGCTTGTTTGTTTGTGAGGTTCCTCGATGAAGCATGTTTCATATGTTCCTACTGTATTAATTGGAGTATTAATTGCTCCTCATATCACTTCCCAGCTGTATGTGTGCTGATGTTGATGTGAAATGGAAGCTCTTTTGTTGATGAAGAGTGTTGAAAATACTAAACCTTACAGCTCTTGCCACACATTACAAACAAAATACTCAGGAAAAAAAAAAAAAAAATAGCCACAGACCACTGTTTATTATTTTGGCTTAGGAGTTTCAACTACAACCATCAGGCATCAACTGAGCCACAATGCTTGTGATAATGAATGATTATGATGATGATTATCACATTCTAACCAGATAGTGCGAAGCCCGAATATAGTGTCGGGTGGCGTGCAATTGAGCGTCTGAAGATCTGGAAAAATCAACGATTTCTCGACCACTATATAGTATATACATTTATGTATAATATTTGTATTTATGTTTTTTTCAATTTATAGTGAAAAATCAACGATTTCTCGACCACTATATAGTATATACAATAGGCTTGGATCATCCATATTTCACATCTTTTAATAAGTGACGTTTATTTAAGCCAAAACAATTAACATGTTAATTAATATATAATTCCGCTAACACGTCATACTAATATTTATTCGATTTTAGAATACATATTTTTTCATTGATATAAGAAAAAATAAAAATTTTATTAATTATTGTTCACCATATAATACTCAATTATTATTTTATTATAAAATTTACAGTCAATAATGTAATTATTATTATTTATAAAAGTTATAGAAGTAGTCTTCTTTATGTAATGAAATGCAAAATAAAATTTTGAGTATAAATGTTTACAAAATACAAACACATGTTTTTTAGAATTCAATTTTCTCATAATAATTTTTTTTTTTTCATCCTAAGGCTTTATAGTT